TACTAGGATCATGTTATTCTTTACTCAGCAGCCAGAGTGTTAAAGAGTCAGATTCCCATTGACAGTCCCATGTTTTCAGCAATATGGAGAATCTTTGCATTATATTATCTACAAGGGCATTGGCTCAACTGTCAAGCTCTTTTGATACAGATGCATGCTTCACAGTTGATCCTGGAACTAAACTGACATCCCAGATCCAGTGCAATGTCCAAATCCAGTTCAGAATGTTGCAGCTGGTCTGTAGATACCTTCGGAGTTTTTATCAACAACGTGTAGCACAAAAATATTGGCAATGTTATGCTTTTCCCTGTGCCATTGGGGGAAGCATATATAATGACCAACTGAGATAGAGGCCCTGTTTTGCATGAAGACAAACCCTATGTTTCATTGCAGTCCAGTTGAGGTAAAAGGTAGAAGGGAAACAGGCGGAGAGAGGTAAGGTCACACAACAAATCAGTGGCAGACACAGGAAAAGAGCTCACGTCTCCCGACCACTAGACTCCGAGTGGCCTACATGCTTGGTTCCCAGTGGTATGGATTTACATTTAGCCATTTCAAAATACATCTAGTTTGCGCCCAGTTTACCGAGTGATCTAAATCACTTAATCAGCAATCTGTCCTCTTCATTATTTACCTCTCTCCCAATTTGGGGGTCATTTGCAAAATGTATTCCATTGTCTTGTCTGTTATTCTGGTTCCTAGTGTTAGTATGTCCTGCTTCAGAAATTTCTTTTCATGTCCTTTGGGTTCTTGATTCATTTTGCTCTTGTCATCTTGATTTTGTACTGTGTGCTCATATCCTCTGTCTTTTTGTCCTCCACTTTTGCTATTAGTTTAATCCCATCATGATTACTTAAGCCTGACTATGCCCAAGAAGATCTCCCCCTCCCCCGGCTTCTAATGACATGGAGGTCATCCAAATGATACAGGCCCATCTCCCATAGATGGAAGACGAATGCACCACAAAAACAAAGCCCTTCAACTTACCGCCCTTACCTACTCAGTAAGTCACTTCCCGAATCTTCTGCCTTCTGTCTTCCTTTGCTCAGGAAAGAGAAGGATCACAGAGATTGCTTGAACATTCTTCATCTTCGGCATTCTTCCGAGTTTCCTGAAGACAACTGCCATCTGCAAGTTATCCCCCAATGCAGTGTCATTATTGTTAAAAGGAACCATCGCCCATGGATCCTTGCCATTCAACTTCAGAAGCCTAACAAATCTTCAAGTGATGTCTCTTGTGTCTTGGCTCCAGGAAGGCTTCTGTCCACATGCCCCTTGTAGAACATTCTTTCAATTCTTTTGAGTATCGCCTCTCCAACAGAGATCCTCATTCTTCCTTGGAGAACTGGAAAACTTTTTGCAGATAAGCTTGATTTTTTTACAGGCTGAGCCATGCTGCCATTCACACATTGTGTGGTGTAGGCCTCTCTGTTCCCTTAGACCTGCTGGACCTTGAGAGGTACCTTCTGTAGTCTTCACACTGAAGATCTGCTACCACTATGAAACTTCTAACGCAGGGGCCATCTGCAGCCCGATCAGTTCTACAATCTGTCCTATGCTTGGCTGCTGGCACGTGAGTCCTGTGGTCCCAGGGAGGGGTGTCTGTACCATTCCCCTAAGTCCAGGCCCTGCCCCACCCCTGCCCTGGCTCTTCTCAACCCTGCTCACCCCCTGCCCCTTTGCTCAAGCCTCCTCCCCCGAGGAATCTGGCCTTGTGGATTAACACGGGTCCTGGCACAAAATGGCAGCAGGGAGTTGGCAGCGTGGAGCTGGCTGCTGCATAGCCCCACTTCTCTAAGGGTCCCACTGCCACAGTGAGTGCTGCTGGCCCCAGCCCACCTAGGGCCTCACGGTCTAACCTAAATAAGGGGGACTATCTTGTCCATAGGACACTTGGGGCAGCCACCGCAGGGGTCCCCTAAGCACGGCTCTGCACAAACCTCCCCCAGGCCACAAGGACGTGCCAGCAGTGGCACAGAGCTAGCAGCCAGAAGCTGCTCTAGCCCCACGGTGCTACTGGTGGTGCCATCAGGAGACTGGGACGGAGGCGTGTGTGTACATCACCTCAGGTGGTAGGTGTGGCCAAGGGACACCTGGAGTGAGTCACGCCCCGCCCCCTCTCCCCCAAAGCTGTGCCAGAGGCTAGCCTGCTAGCCCATTAAGAGGGTTTGAAGACTGGCACTGGCCCTGAGGTAAATTGAGTTTGAAAACCCTGAAGCTGAATGGAATTCTTCCAGCTTCTCTTCATTCTGGTGGCCACGGATTGCCTGTCCTCATCTGTCTCTAAATCAGGTAGGTGGCTGCTGTGGCATCTTGCTGTGGTGGTTATGAACTGTCAGCCAGGTGTTCTCTGACTTACTCGCTCACAGATTCCTTTGTGAGCAGCTCCATTATCCTTTGAAACTGGGGAAAAGTGCATATGTAACTCAACAGCCTTAGCTACCAGCCAGCTGTCTTTTAGCTCATGTGATGGAAAGTAATGCTCTAAGCTCCAGAGGTCCCAAGTTCAGTTCCACTCACAGGCAACCGGGGTCTGTCAGCTTTACACATATATTAGCGGATACACATTTGATTAGTTCTGATCAGACTACCGCCAAAAGTCATCGCTGAAACACATGGCTACGTCAATACTATGATCCTCTTCTGCAAAAGGAAACGCAAATGGAACACTCATTTGCATATGTTGCACTCATTTGCATTTCCTCCTTGGATCCCTTATGTGCAAGAGGTTTTTGCACAAAAAAGCGCTGTGTAGATGGCTCCTTTTTGTGCAAAAAACCCCTTTTGTACAAGAGCCATTCTTCCTCAGGAAGAACAGCAATTTATTATTTGAGTCTGTTCTTCCTTTAGACAAACTAATTTATCCAGCCCTAACAGAAAAGCCGAGTGAGCATTTGATAGCTTGAGCGCAAGGAGTGAAATGTTTATTTGAGATGTGCCAAGTAAATTATTTGGCTTTGTCTGTCTAGAGACACCTGCATGACCTATTTTTAGATGCAATTTTTATTATCTACTCTCAAGCGTCAGAATTAGGGATATCTAAAGTGAGGAAGTTTGATATGAGATTCACGTAAATGTCTATATGGGACTGACGTGAGCCTTGAAAACTTCAATCTAATCATGCCCTTAATTATCAAATGCTTTTTCTGCTGAGGAAAAAAAATTGCTGTTTAAAATGTTTGATAATCTGACAAGGCCATAAGGCTTAATGGAATCAATGATTACACACAGATGGATGATTAACTCCCAAGGTTTAATGTTAAAAAAAAATAACTTTGCTGGATTGTTACTTAATGGAATTACACTGCCCATATGGAAAAGAACTGTACCCTGAATATACCCAGAATTATGGAACAGGTGGTAAAATCTGGGCAGGGCTACTTGGAATGCACAAAAGCATTCAGAACTTGTAAGTGCCAGGAAAAAAAAAAAACCTTTCAAACTGTTTAACTTTTCATATTTGAGAATTCTAAATGGCAAAAATTAGCACAATAAATCTCCCCAGCCATTTGTTTTAAGAAACCATGTGAACATATTGGGTTCTGAGATTTATATATATCCACACAAAGAGTCGACATTAAAAAAAGCCCACGCCTATGTTAGCAGAATATAATTATGGCCCCAAAATCAAGGACCTGAAAATTAGGAAATGGGAGAACTAAGATTGCCCATATGACTTTAATTCTCCTTCTTTGTGAATGCACATTACAATACCAGCTAAGGGTTGTGTACTGCTACTCATCTCAACAGCTTTCACATAAAGTCAATAGCTTTAGCAGGGTCTGTGGTGGGGTCATTCTTTAATCATCTCTCATTTGTTTCCACAGAATTTGTGTTAGCTCATCCAAGTAGCCAGTGAACTATCAAAAGGCCATTCACTATGGAAAGGTCAGTCTTTTTGCATTACTGTAGGGCAACGTACATTATTTTATTGTGGTGTCATGTAAGTTATAAGGCCTTCCTGTCAGGGTGGTTCAGCACTGAAATAAATTAAGCTAGAAAGGTTGTGGAATCTCCATCACTGGAGATATTTAAGAGCAGGTCAAATAAACACCCTGTCAGTGATGGTCTAGATGGTGCTTGGTCCTGCCGTGAGTGCAGGGAATTGGATTTGATGACATCTCGGATGTGTCTAGACTGGCCAGTTTTTCCAGAAAATCAGCCGCTTTTCCGGAAAAACTTGACAGCTGTCTACACTGGCCGCTTGAATTTCCGCAAAAGCACTGACTTCCTACTGTAAGAAATCAGTGCTTTTTGCGGAAATACTATTCTGCTCCCGTTTAGGCAAAAGTCCCTTTTGCACAACATTTTTGCACAAAAGGGCCAGTGTAGACAGCTGAGATTTGCGCAAAAAAGCTCCGATCGCGAAAATGGCGATCAGGGCTTTTTTGCGGAAAAGCGCATCTAGATTGGCCACGGACGCTTTTCCGCAAAAAGTGCTTTTGCGGAAAAGCGTCCGTGCCAATCTAGACGCTCTTTTCCGAAAATGCTTTTAACAGAAAACTTTTGCATTAAAAGCATTTCCGGAAAATCATGCCAGTCTAGACGTAGCCGTCAAGTGTCCTTCCAGTACTAGTATTCTACGATGCTATGATACATCTGAGAAGAATCCTACCTTGAAAAGCAATACAGCACATGCTGCTCTAAGGTATACTCACGATGTCACACTGATCTCGGTGGGTATAACAGAGGATAGAATTTATCCCATTGTCTGAAATATTATCACTGCTGCCATCGTATGAAAGGCAATACATCCCCAAATGTTATTTGAACACCATTGAGGAACATTAATCCTGATTCTGCAATTATAAAGCCCTGTGAATATCATCCATGAAATGATTGTTAAAAAAAATTCTTCATATTTCAGCCCATTCGACTTAACCATAAAGTAGACACAATGAGCTTGAAAATGACTCATCCATCGACAGTCATGCCTTTTGCATTATTGTTCTACTAGCCTTTTGACCACAAGGATTGGTTGGACTACTGCTCTTTTGGGGGTTTTCCCTCCATAGGTGTCCTATTAAGTCTTTATTGTGGAGACAGTCTTTGCCACTTTTCAGAAGTTTCTCTCACCAGATGATTGCAAAAGGAAAGAAGAATAATCTTGTAGCTAAAGTACAGGGCTGGAATTTAGGAGACCCGCATTCCATCTTGGGGTTTGCCAGTTTTTGTGTGTGACTTCTGGCAAATCACTTAATCCCTTTATCATTTCATATCCTGTGGGAATAAATGTATTAATGCTTTCGAAGGGCATTGAACTTCTCAGAGGGAAAGCACTATATAAAGGTGAAGTATCACTACATTAGATGCCTTCACAAGAATGAGACAACAGTTTGCTTTCTGCATGCCTATGAAGCAAATAGAGTCTTGTAGTGGAACAAGGTGGGTTTTAGAACATTTTCACAAACCAGTGCGCTGAGTGTGGGTTTGGATCCAGCGAAGACCAAAGGTAACATTTTCAAAAGAACGTAAGTGACTTAGTGAGCCTAGGTCCCATTTAAAAAAGTAATTTAGGAGCTTTAACTCACCATATGAGTACATATTCTAGTTTAAGTATGGCTTTTTCTGGTTTATCTTGAACTCCTTGCGAAGTACCGAACTAAACTGAAAAAAGATAAAGCTATAGGATTTTAAATTCACACCCTATCGTATACTGAATAGCCCTGGAGGTTTTTCGCCTTCCTCTGTAGCATGGGGCACAGATCACTTGCTGGATTCTCTGCATCTTGGGGTCCTTAAACCATTTGAGGACTTCAATATCTGAGATATATGTGAGAGGATTATTCTAGGAGAGGGTGGGTGAGATTCTGTGGCCTGCATTGTGCAGGGGGTCAGACTAGATGATCATAATGGTCCCTTCTGACTCATACTATATAACTATACTATATAACTTCTCATACTATATAACTATATTACTATACTATGTAACTTCTCTGTGTGGGCATTCACAATCAATGGAATTTAGATTTCTACAGCCAGATTTTCAAAGGTATTTAGCTGTCTGATGATGGAGATAAGCATCTACCTGCATTTTAAAAGCACTTAACACTCAGTGCTTACCTGATTTTGAAAATCCTAGTAGGCACCCATCTGCATCATTAGACACCTAAAAAGGCTTTGAAAATCTGGCCCTACATGCATAAATCACTTTTGAAAATGGGATACAGGTTCTGAAAAATTTACCCTAGAATTTAGATCATTCTTCTAGAATCCACCAGATTGTTCACCCTCCACCCAGCTCTGTGTGTGTGTGTGTGTGTGTGTGTGTGTGTGTGTGTGTGTGTGTGTGTGTGTGTGTGTGTGTGTGTGTGTGTGTGTGTGAGAGAGAGAGAGAGAGAGAGAGAGAGAGAGAGAGAGAGAGAGAGAGAGACAGAGACTAGCTGTGTGTGTGTGTGAGAGAGAGAGAGAGAGAGACTAGCAGAGTTCGGATCCCACAATTCCAAGCTCTCACCTACAGCAAATTTTTCTGGGGTTATGTTGTAACTAGAGATGAGGCCAAGCCACAAATTTAGGATTTGTGATCCAATATTTCTCCAAGTTGGAGAACATTTGGATCCCAGGTTTTGGTTTAATCTGTGGTTGCAGAGTGATCTGAGAGACTGAAATTTCCCCTCTCGGTCCAGTGTCAGCAATCAACTATACCCAGCTGCTATGGAAGATCCAATTCAAAGATCACTGCAGTCAATAGGAATCCTTCCATCCATTTCTGTGGGCTCTGCACTGGGACTGCTGTCCACTTACTCCATGGCATGGCACCTGCTTTCACCTTCCTCTGGGAACATTCCAAGGTGACTAGCCAATAATGACCACTAACCATTGTTGTAGAATTTATTCATGTAATTCAGTAACCAAGGAAACAGAAAGGACTTTCTCTCAAGGTTTTGAATCAGCTCTCAGATAGTGAAAGTCAAATTATGTCTGAGGAGGAAAAGGGATCAGTAGTCAGAACGCTGGACCGTGATGCAGGAGATTTAAACTCTATTACCAACTCTGCCACTGAACTATTGTATGTCATTGGGCATGTCACATGACAGCTCTGTGCTTCTTTCTCCACTTCCCCCCCTTCATCTTGTCTAGGGGAGGGGCAATCTCTCACTATGCGTAGGTATGGTGCCACACAGCGGGAGTGACTGTGCTTACCTCAGAAGAATGTGATTCAAAGACAAAATAGCTGGTTTACTTCCATTATCTAAACTGGAAGAGCAGTTATTTCTAGGTTTTGCTTCAGGGGTCTGCAACCTATGGCTCTCGAGCCAAATGCGGCTCAGTATGGAACCAAATATGGCTCTTTTGTCACGCCCAAAATGCATGCAACTTTAAAAATTAAAATGAAAAATTAATTCAAAAATTTTAAAAACGTGTAATGACTCATGTAGCTTGAATGCACACATGAACCTGGATTTGATCAGTTATGATGTAAACTTCAAAGAAATGTGCAAAAAGATGCAGCTGCAGAAGTCCCATTAAATAAAGTCTGTGAGTACAATGTTTCATTTATGCTATTATTAATCATCATATCAATTATCAATAATAGTAAGTTGTATGTTTTCAGTCATGCAAATGGGCATTCTTATTCGGCGCTTTGTTGACCACTTGGTCTGAATTTTGATGTAATTTGGCTCTTTGCTTTCAAAAGGTTGCTGATCCCTGTCTTCATTCCCTTCCTAGAAATATGAGTGCGATTAGTGCTTAATGACAGCTCTCCCCTTTAATCAAGATGTATATATGGCAACCTGGGCTGTAAAGCGGTGGGCATGGAGATAATTGCCAAGGGTTCCCTGGCTGAATAGCGTCAGGTTGGATCCTCTCCTCGTGTGAAAGTGTAGACTTCTGTTGGCGTCACGGATGGTCTAGACAATACTGGGTGCTGCCATGAAGGCAGGGGACTGGACTCGATGATTTCTCGAGGTTCCTTCCAGTTCTAGTGTTCTATGATTCAGTGAATCTGTGCCACTTCCTGTTACCTGATGATCTGACCTTAAGGGTGAAATCGTGACCTGAGTGATGCCAATGACAAAGCTCCCGATGATTTCGCTAGGGCCAGTGTTTCAACCGCAGCGTTTAGTGCGACAGGGTTACTAGCCTGCCCAGCCCTGGGGTTTTGTTTCCTGCATTCATTCCACATTCCCCCTCCCCAAGTTTTGCTCTGAAAACAAAGTATACATGGGCAAGGTCGTCAGTCAGCGCAAACCACCATAGTGCTGTTGAATTCAAAGGAACTATGCTAATCTACACCAGCTGCACTCCACAGTTAGAGAGAACGCCCGCCTGTTCCTTTTTCAATACCTGACAAGACTGACCATGGCCTAAAATGGTCCCTTTCTCTCTCCTTCTCTACTCCCTCTGTTAAACTGGCACTGCCCTTCAGACACAACCACTGCACTTGGCATAAGAACGTTCCCCTCCGCAGCACTTGTAACCACTTTCCTATGTCTCTTGGCCTCTTTGATACATAAGAACATAGGAACAGCCATACTGGGTCAGACCAATGGTCCATCCAGCCCAGTATCCTGTCTGCGATCGTGGCCAATGCCAGGTGTCCAGAGATACGCCATCTCTTTCATAGAGTTTAAGGCCATTAATCTAGCCCAGAGGTGGGCAATAATTTTAAATGGGGGCCACTTCATTAATTTTTGGAGTGGCCCCAGGCCATCCCAGAAGGGGCGAGGCCTCGAGAAGAAGGGGCGGGGCCAGGACACTTCCGTGATCCCCTGTCCACAGACCCTGATAGGTCTGGGGAGTGGGGCAGCACATGTAGTTTTTGCCCCCAGCTTTCCTCCACCATGGTGGTGGGAGGAGACTTTGAGTGCTCCCTTCACCCCCAGGTCAGAGCCCGGAGGTGGGAAGAGCAAGGGAAGTCTCTACTCCCTGCCCTGCTCTGCATAAGGTGCTTGGCGCTTCAAGAGGACCACCAGCTGGTGGTTCATTCTAAGTGCTGTGCACCTCTTGCAGGCCAGGAGGAGACTTTGCACGCTCCCTGCCCCTGACCTGCATAGTGTTTATAGTGGACTGGTCCACTCTAAGGCTACATCTACACTGTAGCCTTCTTGAGGAAAAGCTTATGCAAATGCAGCTCAGCGTGGAATATCGCCACACTTAATTTGCATAATTAATGTTCATTTGCATAATTAATGAGCAGTCATTTTGCATAATTAATGTTCATTTGCATAATTAATGAGCAGTCATTTTGCATAATTAATGTTCATTTGCATAATTAATGAGCAGTCATTTTGCATAATTAATGTTCATTTGCATAATTAATGAGCAGTCATTTTGCATAATTAATGTTCATTTGCATAATTAATGAGCAGTCATTTTGCATAATTAATGTTCATTTGCATAATTAATGAGCAGTCATTTTGCATAATTAATGTTCATTTGCATAATTAATGAGCAGTCATTTTGCATAATTAATGTTCATTTGCATAATTAATGAGCAGTCATTTTGCATAATTAATGTTCATTTGCATAATTAATGAGCAGTCATTTTGCATAATTAATGTTCATTTGCATAATTAATGAGCAGTCATTTTGCATAATTAATGTTCATTTGCATAATTAATGAGCAGTCATTTTGCATAATTAATGTTCATTTGCATAATTAATGAGCAGTCATTTTGCATAATTAATGTTCATTTGCATAATTAATGAGCAGTCATTTTGCATAATTAATGTTCATTTGCATAATTAATGAGCAGTCATTTTGCATAATTAATGTTCATTTGCATAATTAATGAGCAGTCATTTTGCATAATTAATGTTCATTTGCATAATTAATGAGCAGTCATTTTGCATAATTAATGTTCATTTGCATAATTAATGAGCAGTCATTTTGCATAATTAATGTTCATTTGCATAATTAATGAGCAGTCATTTTGCATAATTAATGTTCATTTGCATAATTAATGAGCAGCCATTTTGCGCAAGTGGCTTTTGCGCAAAAATGGCTGTTCATTAATTATGCAAATGAAGTGTGGCGATATTCCACGCCACGCTGCATTTGCATACGTTTTTCCTCAAGAAGGTTACAGTGTAGGCGTAGTCTAAGTGCCGTGCGCCCCAGCAGGGTAGGGGCAGGGAGCGAGAGACTTCATGTGGTCCCCCTGCCTCCAGCCCGATTGGCCTGGGAACAGGGGAATGGCAGGGTATCCACAGGCCGGATCCACCCTTTTGCCAGGCTGGATCCATGTAACAGAGGCCCCTTTGCCCAACCTGATCTAGCCTGACCTGCACATTGTGGGTCACTGAACATCACTCACCCACTCCTGTGAGTGACCCCTAACCTCTAGTTAAGTTCCTGAAGCCCTCAGAGCATTGTTTAAAGACTTCAAGTTACAGAGGCCTCACCATTTATGCTAGTTTTAATGTGCAGTTGAGGCAATAAGATACATAAAACTATGGTACGTCCATATCTTGAATACTGTGTACAGATGTGGTTGCCTCATCTAAAAAAAAACCCCATGTTGACAATGGAAAAGGTTCAAAGGGCAATAAAAATGATTAGGGGTTTGGAACTGGCTCTGCAGCTCCCATGGGCCAGAAATGGCAGCCAATAGAAGCTGTGAGGGCGGCAGCAGTGGGTGGAGGCAAAACATAGAGCCACCTAGCTACGCCTTTGCCTGGGAGCAGCACAGACATGTCACTGTGTGTGGGGAGCCACCTGAGGTGAGGCACCGAAATCCCCTCTCACCCCAGCTCCCTACCCCCTCCCACATCCAAACTCTCTCCCTCTTAGTTCAGCACAACTTTTTACTTACTGGCACTCTCCAATACACCAGCTTGCCAGATAACAAAGCTTTCACTGTACTTGGTTGAGCAATTACAGATTGGCTACATGCAATTGTGGGCAGCCTCCATTACATTAACCCCTCCATACACGTATCAGACTCAGTCCTGAATCCAGATAGGTGTTTTGCCCCCATTGCTTCTCTAGGAAAGTTGTTAGGGTACGACTAAACTACATGGCTCCATCGACGGAGCCATGTAGATTTGTTGTTTTGGCAAAGGCAAGTGAAGCCGCAATTTAAATGATCACGGCTTCCTTTAAATTTACATGGCTGCCGTGCTGAGCTGACAAACAGCTGATCAGCTGTTTGTCCACTCAGGGTGCTAGTCTGGACGCTCCCCTGCCGACATCAAAGCCCTTTGTCAGCAGCCCCGGTAAACCTCAACCCACGAGGAATAACAGGGCTGCCGACAAAGGGCTGAGGAATTCAAACTCTGCAGTCCTGCTTTTCACGAGGAGTAACGCTATTCCCAAACTTGTAAGTCCGAAATAACATTAGATGGACACTCCAGTGCTGCTAATTGGAGCTACTTGGCCTCTAAGAGGCCTCCCGCAGCTCCCCAGAGTGTTTCCTGGGGCTCTGAGTCTGAAGGAACACGTCCACATTAACGGACCCTGCCTTGGGCTATATTCTGATTCTTCCCCATAGTCAGGACACGGAACTTCAAATTTGTAAAATCGGGTGCCCAGAAGTCGAAATTAGTAAATTCGAAATAATCGCCTAGTGTAGACATGGCCTAAGGAGCTACAGGACTGCTCTTTGGTTTTTTTAAGTTACAGAGTAACATGGCTACCTCTCTGAGACATTTAAACATGCAACACTCTCTTGACGTTAATGATGCTAAGAGTCTCATCAGGTCAAACATGATGCAGCTCCAGGCAGTCACTCTCAGATGCCTTCTACCCGGCTTGCACATTTGACATGCAATACTAAACAGTTTTGTTATTTTACCTGGGTTGTAGAGACAAGATAGGTTCTACAAAGAAAAACAATGCTGCAAATTTACCACGGGGAGAAACAATCATCAGATTAAGAAGCAGAGATGCATCTGAAAGCATCTTGGGATGCAAAAAATACAAAATACAGACTATTCAAAGAAATGAGTAATTTGTTTTTCAGTATTCAAGCAATTTGGATAGC